CCCCCCCCCCCCCGCCCCTGCAGATCCTGTTCCCACTCTGACTGCTGGATGCAGTGGTTCTTCACCACTAAAGAAGCAGGGGGCCTCTGACCCTCAGGGTGTCCACACTTTTGTGAACAATGGAGAGAACACAGTTCAGCTGGGAGTGCCTTGGGATGCCAGAGAAGATGAAGGAGAGAGCAACCTTATGAATTAACTTGTTACCCACTTATAGAACCTTTCAGAAATTGAATAGATCATGTACTGACTAATATTCTTTGGAATTAGAATCTAGATACTCTGATAAAGCTTAAAATTGGTCATTTTAGTTTGTGTATCCAGGTGCTTTATCCCCAAAATATAAAAGGGAAATTACAACTGTTCCAAACATAGTGGAGCCCCTGTTTTCCAAGCAAATGAATTAACACTTTACATACCTTGGATCTTTTCAGGGCTGAACTAATTGAACTTTCTGTCAAACTGAAGATTCTCAGAAAGCTCCTTTAGACCCAACCGTTGTCTAAGATGATAAGTCCACTCTCTGTACTTGATTCAGCAAAATTCATATCAGTGAACCTTTCAGTTGATGATTGATGATTCAGGTCACCAAAGTACCCCCGGATGTTCATTGATTTCCTTTTGCCTACAAAATAAATTTCAAATCATGTAGCCTGGCATTCAGGCTCCTTGTGATCTGGCTTCTAGTTCACCTTCTGCCTGTTTTGTCTGCTATTCTCTTTCACACCAAAATAAATAAATAGATCATTGTTCTCAGTGTTTTCCCATCTCCATGCTCTCTGGATTTTTACTTTCTAATATGCTCGTTCAGCTGCCAGACCTCCAACCACACATGTGTCTTCATGGCCAAGCCCATCCTTCTAAGCCAGCCCTAATGTCACTTTTCTCAGAAAGGTTTATGTGCTTCCCATAAAAGGAAGTCATCTCCCTAACCTCTTCCGAATTTCCACAGCACTTTCCCTGGATCATAGATACAAATATAAATATATCTTTTATACCTCCATTTGACTATAAACACATTCCATAATAAGTATGATTACTATATAGTGAGCACTAATTAAATTCTTCAGGCATTAGTCTAGGCTCCCCCACTCTTTTATTTTTGCAACCCCACAAGGTAGGTATTGATCCACACCTTCTGCCAAGTCCTTTGGTCCACGATACAAAGCATATCTCTTTTTTGCTTATATTCAAGTTGAGGTTTAGATAAATTAGGAAATTGCTTAAGTTCATCTTCATACAAAGTGGAGGAGCTGGAATTTGGACCTGCATGTATCAGACTTTAAATTTTGAGTTCCCTAGCGGACCATGCTTCTTTTCCATGTTTTATTTATCACCTTATACTCTCTAGTGCCTAATATGATGTCAAGAACAGAGCAGCTGATGAATAAATATTGGCTGAAGGGAGGCAGAGAGGAAGAGAGGGAAGAAAGGAAGGATGGGGGAAGGGAGAACTACAAGACTGTAGTTCATGAGACCTTAAAATATTAGAAGAGAGCAGAATTAATCCTCTGCACATATCCTAAAAGTTAACATTTATTAAATCTCTACTCTTAGCTATATTTTTCTTGTATCTCATTAGTAGTAAGGCTAATAAGTGCTGAAAGCATTTAATGTATTGAGGATTTTAGAATTTAATTTCTAGTTATGGTATTTCTATAGATTTTCTCTCTTTCTTCCCTATAGCTTGAGATGATGTTTAATATAATGAATGAAACTCAGGTAACAATTCAAGTAGCTATTTTATATTCTACTTTATAATTGATTATAATCAATTGAAGGCTTGATTTTGGGAATGGTGGACACTTTCAACAACTATAGCATTTTCACTAAACATCACATTCTATAGTAAAAAATGAAAATAAAATTGGAAGCCTAGGCTTTTAAAATCATTTTAATAGTCTTCAACAATAGAAATCAAAAGCTAATAAAAATTGAGGCAATGTTTTTCAAGAGGAAACCCTTTTCAAAGCTTGATAAATTTTGTTGGGATTAAATTAAAAATAGAAAAATTATTTAGAGGAACAGTTAAATTGTGTCTCTTGAATAATGATTAATTTAAATGAATCTCTGTATTGAATTAAAACCTGGACTAGTGTAAAACTGACAACTTTTAATTGGCATTTCCTTTTGCAACAATAAGTTTAACTTTAATCAATACTCCACATAATTTAACATCCATCAGTTTACTCACTGGTAGTTTTAGTGTTTTAGTTTTTTTTCTAAGGAGCTTTCAGTTATGATTTCCTTCTTGTTCTTTGATGATACTCAGGCTAGCCTTTTCCAATCAAATTCTCTCATTTTTCAGAAATCTTCAAACACTTATTTAAAATACAGCAAATTTACTGCTAAATCTTAGCAAAATATCGGGCTATACAACTTCAGCTGGAATCTGCTCATATATTTATTGAGGATCTACAAGATGGCACCTCTGAGTGGAGTCATAATTAGGCAAACCTTAACTCTTAAATAATAAGGGAGCATGTACTATGAAACATAAGGGATAGTGGCTTGTAGACATTTTGAAAGACTCTCTTGTATTGCTGGGTACATTTTCCACAAAACTGTGGTCTTTGAAGGGAAGAATGATTTTTGCTAAATTAGTGTGCCACCCAACTATATAGGAAACTATGCGAAATATTCAGCAAGACAAAACAAAAAACATAGATCACAAAATAAGAGAATATAGCCGCATTTAAACACTCCAAAAAGAATTTCTTGAGGAAAAACTAAGCAAAGGTAGTGATCTAAATTCTTTTTATTAAACAGTGCTAATTTGGGTGACTATGTTTATTATTGAATAATATGCCCCATTACATATCCTCAAATTTGTTTACCCTCCCAAAGATTCTGCCACAATGCTTACATTTTCTACATTTGAAACAGTGCTAATTTGGGTGACTATGTTTATTATTGAATAATATGCCCCATTAAATATCCTCAAATTTGTTTACCCTCCCAAAGATTCTGCCACAATGCTTACATTTTCTACATTTAATTTTAGCAGTGACTTAACTCACCTTCCTACCTGAACATATAGCCATGCTGACATTTCACAAGATGCCCAAACAAAATGTTATCTATTTTGCTTTCCTTAATACTATGCACTTCCTTTGATTCCTGGAAAATTGTAGCAAAACTTAGCGAAGGTATTCATCAGTTTGTTCAATGAAAGAAAACCAAAATCGAAACTATTTCCTGCAGCTGGGCACAATTTCAAATCATCTCTGAATCATATAAACTGCACTAAGGTTACAAACATGCTTTTTTTCTGGAAATTCAACAAGCAGCAATATTAGTCATCAAATGAATGACACTCTTCCCCCTCTCTTCTCAACAGGAAAACCCAGCACCAAACAAGAATCCATGGGACACTTTCAAAAACCCCAGTGAATACCAACATTACACCACAATCAATGTCTTAGATACAGAGGCAAAGGATGCTTTAGAACTAAGGCCTGCGGAGTGGGAGAAGTGTCTAAATTTGCCTCTGGATGTGCAAGAGGGTGACTTTCAAACAGAAGTTTAACAAAATCAGAATGGACTGAGGTGAAGACAAAACCATTTATTGCACTGACACTTAAGACTTGGGAAGCCTGACATTTCTATCTGGACAGTCCTATGTCAGGACCTTCATGTGCCAAACGTCAGTGGTGTTTTCGTTTGATAACATCTCACTAGTCAGGCTAGTGGAGAGACGACCAGGTGTACAGTTCTGACCTTCCTGTGTTGTAAGTACCCGTGGAATGGATTTGTAAGGTAATCTTTATAGATAAACCTCAAGCAACGATTCATGTTGTAACCGCTTCATATGGTTTAGTTTTCAAAAAACTTCACCATGAAGCACAATGTATATATTTATGCAGTTTTTAAAGTTTATAACAGTCTGTTTGGCCATTACTACACTTTTTACTTTATAATATAAAAGCAAAGTTTTTGTCATTAAATGAATGTTTGTTGAGCTACATTCTTCATTGCTTTAAATGCAATAAAGTAATAATCTCACTTTTATATGAATAATATATTTCACATCTTTATTATTGCAGTTTTCACTAGAAAGCTCTGAGTAGCTTTCTCTGCTGCAGCTGTGTATAAAATATTTAAAATGTTGTATGGTGTAAATAAACTTTTGTCTACATATCAGTTTTTTAGTGCATTTTATTTTGGATTTGTTGAACAGAAATTTACATATTTACAAAGTTTTTTTTTCAATACAGATACTGAAAATGTATTCACAGATTTAATAACATACCGTTATTACTCCTTTGAGACTAATGATTTCTCAAATGTAATAATAGGTTTGTATAGTGCTTCTGTATTTTCTACTCTAACACCCTTTGGAACAATGTAAATGGAGCTTGTCAGAAATCTGCTGCCATCATACTCTTACATAAATATTATGATTTTTCTTTCTTGTGGCAAAAAACAACTAGTAGAAAATAGTAAGTTGCCATACAAAAAATAATACAGGGAAAGTGTTAATTTTAAGTGACGAAGTTTGCTGCATGTTTTACAAAAGGAACTCCTCATACAACAGTTCTTCCTAGCATACAAAAAAATGAACTTTTTCAGGATTAAAAAAAATCATATCTAAATATTCTCTAGCAGAAGGAAAAGGAGAGTGGATGTATTTGATAGGATGATTTGTCTCTGGTTTGCAAGCGGGAAGCCTAAAAGTGAGCTGACTGCACAAATGGTCCCTAGTGTCCTCTCTTGTGTTAAAGCCACACTGGTGATGTCTCTCTCTTCCTCAGATACATACTAAAGGAAACACGGTGGAAAGGATTTCAGCAATTTCATGGCTCTTTTGATGATCTGAGATTGTGTTTTTCAGTCTGAGGCAAGGAAAGAGAGAGTGGAGGGGAAATTGGAGTTGTTAAGGTTCCTAGAATATTTATTTGGATTAGTTTGTGATAAACCTGAGTTGTGTGGTCTTCTGTGGTCCGTTCAAAACTCAAGTGTGTAAGTTCCTTCCCCCACGACCTTGGGGACCCAGCACTCAGGCCATGAGGCAGATACAACGGTGCTTCAACACTCAAGTGCGCCTCTGAGCTAGAGCCTTAAAAACCACACAGCTCAGGCCAAACTCCTGTCAGATATTTATAATGTTCTCAATGTCAAGATGTGAAAAGTATATTTTTAATCAGATTTTAAAAGTAAAAGTGACATTGTTATGCAAAAAAGAATATAACATAACTAAGGACTGATTTTTCAATAAAATAAACTTCATGCTAATTATAATATAATTGTATAGCCTATTGAATTTCTAAGATGACTCTTTGGTAATAGACATGATATTTAGTAAACCTCTCTCTCTCTCTCTCTGTATCTACATGTATATATGTATGTATAAGGGTACTTCAAAAAGTTCGTGGAAAGATTCATATTATCTTTTAATTCTATTTTTCCATGAACTTTTTGAAGTGCCCTCGTTTATATGCACACACATATGTATTTATGAATGTGTCTATATATGTGTATGTGTGTATACATATATATGAATCCATAATGCTCAGCTCGATGTCAGTAACTATAGCTGTGAATGCAGACCATGTATGCAGCCACCCATTCCAAATTATAAAATCCTTATGGAAAAAAACACCATAAGCATGTGTTTGAAACACGTGAGTTTCTATGTTTAAAAAAAACATATAAATTCAATATTTTAGACTAATATGTCTTCTACTATTCACTGCCATATAATAAAATCTTACATTTTTTCACTTTGATTTTTTTTTTTAGTTTCAGCAACTGAGTAATAGATTAATATATGAAAACTAACCAGAAACTGCATACTTAAAAAATGTTAGGGTAGAGTTTTTGGTTACTCGAAGAAGGATGCCAAGTTGTAGCAATGGTAGGGCTTTGTTGTTGTTTTTTAAACTGCAAGTAAATAAAAGTCAAGAAATATCAAAAAATCATAATTTTAAGGAAGCCCTCTTCTAGTCCACTATTTTAAGTTTCCACTGCACTATTTCTCTCACACACACACATGCACATATACACTCTCTGCCGGAGGTGAATTGCAGCTGTCTGGGCTGATGTCCTCCAGTCCTGGACAGTACCTTCCCAGCCCACTGCACCCACGACCTGCTGAGATGTTTGTGCCCTTGGGTAGAAGTTCTCCCCCTTCTCCCATGTCTAAATTTTACTTATGCTTCAAGGTACAACTCATACTTTATCTTCATCTAGTTTTTCATAATTTTTCAAGCTAGAACTAATTTTTCCTGTAAAATTATCATGGCATTTCTTCTGTACCTCTCAGGACTTCTCAAATCTTCTATCTTGTTATTTATATTCATTTCTATCCTCTGGTGGACTGTAAGTGCCTGGAGGACAGGGTTCATGTCTGATCCATTTTGTATTTCTTCAGGGACCTAGGACAATACTGTTTACACAATAAATATTTATTGAATTATTTGTGGAATTTATTTAAGTATTGCTTATTGTCATGCATATCAAGTTATATACTGAAAAGTAATTATTGAACAACTGTTGTGTTTATTCCTGTGTTAGGCAGTTAAGGTACTATAGGGTCTCTGTTTTTAGGTAGTTCACAATCTATTGAAAATATAAGATACGTGTGTGAAACAGGTAATAAAATTTAAATATTAATAGACCTTTATTACCATATATTATCTTTTTTGTCCTTAAGATTAACACATGAAACAGGAAATATCTTAAAGAAATGGAAGCTCAGAGGATCTTAGGTATGGTGACATACCTAAGATCACCATAAATGACAGACCCAATATTAGAACCAAAGTCTCCTAACTCGTATTCTAGGGCCATTTCCATGATACCAAGGTGTTTGTACTTGTTCCTTCTAGATTACTAAGTCTCCAAATCAAAAAATAATAAGTTGCATGGAAATATTTTTAGGCAAGGGTAAGTCATAAAACTGGAAGCATGGATCAGCTGCCATGGTGTGGTGAGGCCAATAGCTGATTGTAGCAGAAAAGCATAGCTGATCTGAGATAACAGTGATCTTAAATAAAGTTGCTTCTATAGTCCACTATGTGGTTTTATTTGCATCTGCTTTAAATGTAGTTAATAAATCACTAGTTTTATTATTAACTGCATACAGGCAGGCGGAGACTGAACAGAGAAGCCAACTTGAATTTTCAGATTGTCTCCAGATTCTCTGTAAAAGCATGTAGCCACAAAAAATGATACTGTTGAATAATGATGAACTTGCGAACTATCCTGATTTGAATACCACATGTTGTACATAAATGCTGATAGTCTACTCTGTGTCCCCCAAATATGTATAATTAATTGTTTCAGTAAAACACACACACACACACACACACACACACAAACAAACATGTAGCCACAATTTTAAAAAAAGAAGAAAAAAAAAAAAAAACCACAGTCAACAAACATTTGCTTCAGAAAGCTTGGTTTGTAAATTTTGAATCATTCTCAGCCTTTCAGAGAAACTTTATCAGGTTTTAGTTATCCAGAGTTATCTATGTCAAAACCAACCAGTTAAATTCTACAAATTTGTAGTATTTCATTGAAAAATGAAATAAACATGTCTCTAACATTTCAATCTGCACATTTTTCATGGTAACAAAAATTATCTTGCCCCTGAGATGCTTCTGTAGTTAAATTTGTAACTGAGGTAGCACAGCAGAAAAGAGATTTTAGAACCAAGAGCCATAGAATGTAGAGATGGGAGACACCTCAGTGATCAGTATAAACAGCAATCATTTTCAGGTGTCAAATAAACAACTCCAGACTTAGAAAAGAAACACTTTCTTTGATAAGACTATTGAGAAGGGGTGGAAAGAGTGTGATGCTATTGCTCCCCATTATAAGGGTCTAGGCCCACACTCCTATAAGAAAATACAAGATAACAAGGAAAAAAGCATAACAAATCTATTTAATTATAAGTTTTATATGACACAGGAGCCTTCAGAATGAAAGCCCAAATATACAGCGAAAACTATTCATTTTTATGCTTAGGTTTGATGAAGAAGGGACAGCTGTGTAGAAATGTGCCTGGACAAAAAGGGCGTGAAAATTGCTAACAGACTGGGTGGGGAAACCCGTCAGGCCCTGGGTGTTTGGCCTCCCTGTGCAGCATTCCTTCTTTCTGGATATGGTACAGGACCCTTTCTGAAATGGGGGTCTTATGACCGTCAATATGACAATTGCTAACAGACTGGGTGGGGAAACCCGTCAGGCCCTGGGTGTTTGGCTTCCCTGTGCAGTATTCCTTCTTTCTGGATATGGTACAGGACCCTTTCTGAAATGGGGGTCTTATGACCGTCAATGAAACAAGGTAGGTCAGAGAAATTCTTTATGACCAGCTCTTACATAGAATGGTGGGGGAAGGTTAGAGTTTTATAGGTTTTATGGCTGGCTTTGGGGAAAGGGGTTCTGGTTTCTATGACCTGCCTTTGAGGAAGAAAGATTCTAGTTAGTATGGCTTGCCTTGGGGAGACAGGAAGGCAGGAGAAGATCAGAGAGAAACTGGCTGCTTCTGAGGCCTTCTATCTGGGCTATTATTTCCTGAGTCCCAACAGTTACGATAGAAGGGGGACTACTGCAATAGAGAGAATGCTCCAACTATAAGATCTATAAGCATCACAGAGGTCAGTCAGGCAGAAAGGACTTTTCTTTAATACGGAGGAGTAAACAAGGCTAGAAAGAGCTGGGTGTGTGGACGTGGGATGAGCAGGGGGTGTCAGGTAGCAGTTGAGCAGGAAAAGTCTTTCTTTGTGGTCAGCCAATTCTGAAAGGAGTGGTTAGGTGAGGTTGCTCTACCTTCCAGGGCTTGATGAAGCTCCCAATACTATTTTTAAACTCAAGGGTAGTCAAAAGTTCAGGGGTCTAAGGAAAACAAGAAGCCTGACTAA